TATTACTAGGTTTACACTTAAGTGGTCCAGGAAAACTAATATTTTTAAGAAGTAATTAGTCTTAAGAGCGAGGACATATTAAGAAAATTAAACAAGTAAGTTTTGACCATGCATATGTTTTGTAGCGTGTCGAATATCGTGTTTTCAAAACCTAGGACAATTATTAAAGATGATTTGTGAATAGCCTATTCGTACATCATCTCGTAATTGATTTACGAGAAACCCCAAAATTCGCTCATTGCAATAGAAACGGAAAATGTCTGGTAACATTTCTGGAAATTCGATTTTTTTTTCATAAAATTTAGTTTCAGACAAGAATGCTACCTTATTATTTTCATGGTAACAAGTAACTCGGATTTTGCTCTGAAGTAGTAGAACACTGTAACTTCATTACGAGGGAAACGGTGCGTTTGCTTGCAAGCTATATTATTTTGTAAGTAATCTAAGTACCGTACTCTTCTCTTTCTTCCCTGACAACGGCCACAAAGAATAACAAATTTTTAATAAGTCATATTTTGTAGAACAAACTTTTAAAGTTATGATCACTTGTTAAGGCTCTGGGATAAGTTTAGATAAGACTTACCATATGATCTTATTCTTTAAAAACACATGACCAACAAACTCTCTTCTGATAGCATATTCACAGGTAAGGCTACTCTGAACACTGATACCTGTGTGTCTAAAGATGTATAAGACATGGTATAACTTACTATAGATATCCTTTCTAAAATACCTTCGGCAACAAGGGATTGGATAATAAATTCCAGCAAAAATGGATTCTGTGAACTTTTTTCTCATGATTTATCAATTAATTAGTATTTTTCTTTTGGAAGACGGCATTTTCTACATATATCATTCATTTCCCGGTTGGGATTTAAGTCCTTTGGGATAAAAAGATTTGTTAGTTCCATTCCTGGTCCACTGGCATACTCTCGAGCACTTTGGATCTGCGTAAAATACAGCAGAATTAAAAAATGACTTCCCACGCCAAGTGAGTGATTCGTCCCTGACAAATTCTTAATTAAAATAACAAGAATAACAAACAACAGAAACGACAACAACGACAACACTCTCGGTAAACCCAAACATGTTAGGTTTAGGAACTATAGAAAACTATAGAAAGGTCACTTCTCAATTGAAAGTTAGCAGTGGCAGATGATGTAACAATACTTTTTAGCTAATTAGAGAACACAAGAAATAAATATAAATTGAAAAGCCAGATACAAACTCTTAGCACCTTACGGTAAACGTGGTATTTATTGACAAACCAGCTTCTTCAAGATATTTTTAACTTTTTGACGCACCTCTACATTTTTCCAATAGCATATTAATGAATTGGTACAAGAATTAAAAAAGGCAAGCGTCTCCGTCCAGCTGTAGTGGTTGTTAGTTTGTAAGTTTAGTCTCAATAATTGATCATATATTAAAGTGAACAACACAGGAAAGTTCAAAATTAAGTACACTCCGACGAGGATAGATATGTTTTTCGCGAGCTTGGCCTCTCGTTGTCTCTGGCGATTTTTAGCGCCTTGGAGTTGCGGCTGGACTTGTTCACGCTGTATTCGCACGACGTACAGAACGCCAATCTGCGTAGCTACAGAAACGAGAAAGCAAACTGACCATACCATGAGATGGATGTTTTCGACTGCGGATTCAATAGAAGTCCATTTTAGAGCAGTTAACAAAATATTTAGGGTCCATATGATCAGAACATATTTCACAACTCGTGTCGAAGAGAAGAAATCATTGTATCTGACTTGCAGTCGAACAG